AAAAAGCCCTACAACTCCTAATATTCTGCTAATAAAAGTTAAAACTTTGCTAAATACTGTTTTTTTTTTTTTTTTTTTGCTGATGGTAGACCATAATATTTTTTTTTAACTTTTACCTAAAAGCACTTCACTGTTAGATAAAAGCATGACCGTCTGAGCGGGCGTTAAAATATGCCAATAAAAGAGCGACCGGATTAGCGGTCGCCTGTATGAATAAAAATGAACAAAAATGGATACTCTATTATCCATAATATAATTTTAGACCATAATTAGGAAAAGGTTGGAGAATTGTATTATTATCTATCTGATATATATCTGTTAATAATATAGAAGATAGAAAGAAGAAAGGTAGATTGTTAACAAGTATGTAAACCTTTAATTATTTTCCTCGTAGGTAAAACGTCGTCAATATCGGCAAAATAAATAATTCTCCCGTTATTTCTAAGTTCGTAATTTTTTAATTGCTCTGGTCTAACATCACTATCTAATATCCCTCATTTAGTTAATAATTGAACCGGAGTGCTAATTTCCCGTCCATCGTTTAAAAAAATTATTATTTTTTCTTCCCTTACTTGACAATTGGTTATTTGTGGCTCAAGAATGGCTAATTTAATTTGGGGAACTTTGTTTTCAGTTCTATTTTCTTCTAACCTTACCATAATATTATATTTTTGGTTCTATTCCTAAACGGCGAAAATCTTGTCTAATCTTGGCAAGGATGTCTTTATAATTATCCCGCACAAATTTTCGCATTAAAGTTTGAATATGACGAGGGGTGTGACCTCATTGCAGAACTATCCGATAATCCTTAGTTTCTTCAATTAAATACAATTCTACTTCTCCTTCTGATCCAATGAAGTGAATATGTAATCAATTAAGAGGCTTGCTACCAATTGGTTTAAATTCATCAGCATAAAAGTGAATTCGATAGCCTTTTCAAACTCGGCGAGGGTCAGGATCTTTAAAAAGTTGTGCCATTATTAACTATATTTTGTTTTTTTAATTAGTTAACTTTTTATTATCCAGCAAAGAAAATAACACTTTTTGCTTACTAATCTGTGTTCTTATTTCTTTTACGAGCGAAATAGTAAATAATAAGAGCAATAATACCGATAATAAAAAGACCTGCCATTATTTCTTCCCAATCTTTGGAAGATAATTTATTAGACTTATTAGGAGACTGCGACTGGGGAGAATTTGGTTTTGGAACTGGAAGATCATTGCCTGACTTATTAACCGAAGCTTGCAATTCTTTTAAAAAATTTTTGTCATCCTCTTCAATACTTAAATTATCAATATCTACTGGCTGACCTTGCATTATTTGCTGGGCGGCTGACAAATTAATTTTATCTTCGGCCGGCAAATCCAGGGACTCAACATCGACAACTTGGCCTTGAAGAATTTTATTAGCCGTTTGAAGATTTAATTTCGCTCGTGGTTGGCAAGACAAACAAACCGGTTGCTCTCCTACTAAATAATAATCACTAGCAATGCTTTTCTTACATAAGGAACAAGTAATTTGTGGCGTTCGCCTCTTAACTTTGTCTTTGTTTTCGCTAACAATACAATTTTGACAATAATATCCTGACTTGCTTTCCATAGCATAAGCCTCATCAGTTAATTCGATAAACTTACCGCAACCCTGGCAAGAAAAAGCCTCATTAATTCTTCGGGCTAAATTGGCTTTGCTTTCCTCCTCGGCTAATTTTTTTGCTCTTTCATAAAATTCCCGGCTTTCTTCTTTTATTTCTTCCTTTTTACTATCTCAATAACATTTAGAACATAATCCGGACGAACTAAAATCCCCTCATTGCTCACACTTTTGACATTTTTTTCAACCCCGCTTGGTTTTACAATCTGAGTGATAAGGATCGGACTCCGCCATTGACTGGGCTATCGAGCCATCACGATATCCTTCCTTACTTAATAATTCTCCACATAATAAGCAGCGGGGATAAGTTCTTCCACGGGACATGATTTTTGCTTAATACTACTTTTTTAATAATTAATTTCCGCTTTTGGTTTACTTTGGTTCGCAATTAACCGAACCTTTTTAACTTTTCAGCGGAAAATAAATTTAAGAAAAGTAGTAATATATTTTAGGAGTTTGGACAAGAGCATTTGTGATTAGAGTTGAAAGTTGGCAGTTAGTGACCAACTAATTTTGAAAACTCCGAATTAGTTTTTCCCGAGCAGATGGATCATTAACAAGGCGGGCTTTTAATTCCTGAGTATCATAAATAAAAACATTTTCTTCCCCAAAAAAGGTTACTTGTTGATACTTAGTAATATGGTATTTATCTGCCTGTTTTAAGATCTTTGCGGGCAATTCCCCTTTCACATAAATACAATCGCTCCTAATGGCCAAGACATTTTGAGGCAGGAATTGCCGATAAAGATAGTAGGTCTTTAAAATAGCCAAATTAATTACTGCTAAGTTGAAAGGATGATAATGATAACCGCCAAAATTATTTTTACCCAAATATCCATTTAGACTATTAATCAGCATCTTGCCCTTTTTCTCATCAAATTTTTTTATTTCTTTACAATAATTAAGAAATTTATCTACACAACCTTTTTTATGAGGGAAGATTCAGAAGTTTTTATAATATAATTTGCCTTTTTTACCATATTGGTGATTAAAAACTTTTAATAATTTAGTATGTAAAAAATGGTAAGGTCTTAATTTGGTTCTTACTTTTCCATCATCGCTATCAGGTAAAAAAGGAATTTGATTATTTTTTATTACCGCATCTTGTCGAGCATAGAAACTCACAAATCCCTCTCTTCCTTCTTTTAGTTTCTGCTCTATCATTACCGGGTCCGTTACCAACTCAGGACTACCACATGGCAAAGGATAATCCCGCATAATATTAGCATAACAACTTTTAATATCAATTTTGGTTACTTGGATAAAAGTCCCGGTTTGGAGGTTCTCAAAGCGAGGGGGGAATTTTCAGTGATTACTAAGGTTAAAAAAATCTTGCCCTGTCCGAGGATGGCTTTCACTAAATTTAGGTACTAGTTCAAATAGTAGTTTAATGGCTTGGGTGCCTAGTCCTTCTGGATGTTCTTCAGTTCCCCCCCGGATTTCTTTAATGACGGCACGGCCAATCCGATGGGTTCTTTTCTTTTGGTCAGTAATAAACTTTTTTTCTTCACCATATAGGTTAATCAAGGGTCAAGTGTCGGTATCACAATAAACTGTCAAAGGATAATTAGATATTTCTTTTCAAGAAATTTCCTGCAACCCGGGGCTGCTAGGCTTAATTATTTTATTTTTTCAGTCTAATCAGTACGTGGTTTTTTTCATATTATTAATTAGTTAGTGGTTTTTTTCATCCGCGATGCCTTTTTTTTGATGGCTTACTAAAAGTCC